TGCTACTGGAAAGGTTAAAAGTCCTGCAAATCGGCGAGACCAGAGAAGTGAATTCAGGGCGAAATTCTTGACTTTCTGTATTTTGGAGGTCAGAGTCCATTCTTGCTAATTGCAGCCTGACGCAGATAGGTAAAGTATCCCTGACCACCTCTGTCAAAATCGCCCAGTTGACTGGTAGAAACGCAGGGGAGCAGCGCACGAAGGTCAAAAATTTACGTACTCGAAAAGATTAGCGTTCACAGCCGACTAAAAGCTTACTATCGAAACGATGAAGCTAAGTATTCACGAATTCAGTAACACGGCGGGTACTGCGAATGAAATGAGCAACTTTCTTCAATTAGGGATACCGAGTTACAACCAAGTGAATGCCTATTGTTCGAGAGCCAGAATATTTCCCTGCAAGGTTCATTTTGAACTGCCACTTAATCTCTACAATTTGTGGCATTTCGTGATACACTCTTATTGCTAAAATCGTTTTGTGGAAAAAATCAACGGTTCCGAAGCCGCAACCACAGAGGGCTTTATGCTGTGCAACAGCCAATCGATATTCCGTCCAAGTCAGAGAGTTTTGGGGCGAAATACGTTTTTATTAAAACCGTAGTTTTATGGAAACTTACCCTTCCGCTGCAAGTCATTTGAATATTTTAGGTGAAGAATAAAGTGTAGCTTCGGCCCATTATGAAAAGTTGTTCTGTTGGAGTGAGGTTATCGTAGGAGTGACGAAATACCTCAAAACTCAGTTTCGTGGCCAACCCAAAAAAAATGAGGAATGGAGTCAAGTCAGGGCTAAAAGGAGTTCCATCTCATAGTAGATGAAGTGATGGGTCCATAAAATATCTGTACTTCTGGATCCTCCAGTCTTTTTTCCTTTTACTATGGAAATGAACTGGCAGGGAGACAATATGCTTGGGGTAGGTTTTGGTGTTGCTTTTTGGTTACTGTGAAGTGCCGTCATGTTACAGCACCGAGGGACGTACTATTGGTTGGAACTATCCCGAAATTCGCAGTAATTACGTTTCTGGATCCTTATCGAATGTGCAGACAGCTCGAATTGTGGACGGACAGCTAACAACGACTTAAAAATACCTATCTTTATATATTAACCACTAAAGATATCCTAAAATCATTTAAGGTTCATTCGTAAATTGATGTTATATCTAACATTACCTGTCAAATCGTTCATGTGAAAGTAAACGCATACAATACTGTACTACAAAATGTATGCTGTAAGATGCCGTACATACTATGAGTATATGCACGTCTACTCTCTGCCTACTAATGCCCTCCCGTGTCTTCCCTGAGCGCATTTCGTATGAGACAACGACTGCTATGTCATCATTTAACTTGCTTACAATAGGGTATAATGTAATCAAACTTCGGTTCAACCTCTGTCATTCTCAGTGAGGTACGTATCGCTCATACCCTATCATTACAAATGCATTTAATGTTAAGATGATAAAAGATGCAGTACTCTATTGCATCAAGACCTAATTCACACATGGCTACACCCAACACCAAATAACACGTGTGTGAAACCAACATTTCTCCCGTGAGAGGAAAGTATGATCATCCGTTTCTTCTCCATGTGCGCTAGGTGCCGTGGCCTGGGAGCTTGTCAACTGACAACTGCACTCAGACCTCACAGCCAGTTCCAATGTGTGTCTGTTCGGAGTGATCGACTGATGATCCGAGAGTCAGGTTACAATGTCACCTTACCGTGAATTCTGGCACCCTCACTCATGCTATACGTGTGCCACTCAGCCCCCTTTTTATGTTTACTCCTGGCGCTTGTGTTTGGGGGACCGGGGTTGTGTACTTAATAAGCACAGCCAAGGTCATTAGACAGCTGCGCCCATTCCTTGCAGCAGTCCACTAAACCGCGCGGA